TCGGTGACAGAAGTAACCACAAAAGTGTTTTCTCCGCCACGAGCTCAGCATAGCTCAAATGAACTCGGTGTCACATATCAGTACTACACATCATCAGCCAACCTCTGCTAGCTGTCCCAATGGTACAGTGGTAGCGTGCTGGCGTGTGATCCCAGCGGTCGCACGTTCAATTCCTGCTGCTTTGATACAGTAAATATCACGCGCGCGCCTTAGCCTTAGCCTTTCTTAGCGCCAGCAACTGCTGAAACTGTATGTAGCACGCCAGCGCCCACAACTGCTGAAACTGTATGTGGCACGCCGGCGCCCGCAACTGCTGAAACTGTATGTGGCACGCCAGCGCCCGCAACTGCTGAAACTGAATGTGGCACGCCAGCGCCCGCAATTGCTGAAACTGTATGTAGCACGCCAGCGCCCGCAACTGCTGAAACTGTATGTGGCACGCCGGAGCCCGCAACTGCTGAAACTGTATGTGGCACGCCAGCGCCCGCAACTGCTGAAACTGTATGTAGCACGCCAGCGCCCGCAACTGCTGAAACTGTATGTGGCACGCCAGCGCCCGCAACTGCTGAAACTGTATGTGGCACGCCAGCGCCAGCAACTGCTGAAACTGTATGTGGCACGCCAGCGCCCGCAACTGCTGCACTGTATGTAGCACGCCAGCGCCCGCAACTGCTGAAATTTTATGTGGCACGCCAGCGCCCGCAACTGCTGAAACTGTAAAGTCGGTGACAAAAGTAACCGCAAAAGTGTTTTTTCCGGCCACGAGCTCAGCATAGCTCAAATGAACTCGGTGTCACATATCAGTACTACACATCATCAGCCAACCTCTGCTAGCTGTCCCAATGGTACAGTGGTAGCGTGCTGGCGTGTGATCCCAGCGGTCGCACGTTCAATTCCTGCTGCTTTCATACAGTAAATATCACGCGCGCGCCTTAGCCTTAGCCTTTCTTAGCGCCAGCAACTGCTGAAACTGTATGTAGCACGCCAGCGCCCGCAACTGCTGAAACTGTATGTGGCACGCCGGCGCCCCGCAACTGCTGAAACTGTATTTAGCACGCCAGCGCCCGCAACTGCTGAAACTGTATGTAGCACGCCAGCGCCCGCAACTGCTGAAACTGTATGTGGCACGCCGGCGCCCGCAGCTGCTGCACTGTGTGTAGCACGCCAGCGCCAGCAACTGCTGAAACTGTATGTGGCACGCCAGCGCCCGCAACTGCTGCACTGTATGTAGCACGCCAGCGCCCGCAACTGCTGAAACTGTATGTGGCACGCCAGCGCCCGCAACTGCTGAAACTGTAAAGTCGGTGACAAAAGTAACCGCAAAAGTGTTTTTTTCCGCCACGAGCTCAGCATAGCTCAAATGAACTCGGTGTCACATATCAGTACTACACATCATCAGCCAACCTCTGCTAGCTGTCCCAATGGTACAGTGGTAGCGTGCTGGCGTGTGATCCCAGCGGTCGCACGTTCAATTCCTGCTGCTTTCATACAGTAAATATCACGCGCGCGCCTTAGCCTTAGCCTTTCTTAGCGTCAGCAACTGCTGAAACTGTATGTAGCACGCCAGCGCCCGCAACTGCTGACACTGTATGTGGCACGCCGGCGGCCGCAACTACTGAAACTGTATGTGGCACGCCAGCGCCCGCAACTGCTGAAACTGTATGTGGCACGCCAGCGCCCGCAACTGCTGAAACTGTATGCAGCACGCCAGCGCTCGCAACTGCTGAAACTGTATGTGGCACGCCAGCGCCCGCAACTGCTGAAACTGTATGTGGCACGCCAGCGCCCGCATTTGCTGAAACTGTATGTGGCACGCCGGCGCCCGCAACTGCTGCACTGTGTGTAGCACGCCAGCGCCCGCAACTGCTGAAACTGTATGTGGCACGCCAGCGCCCGCAACTGCTGAAACTGTATGTGGCACGCCAGCGCCCGCAACTGCTGAAACTGTATGTGGCACGCCAGCGCCCGCAACTGCTGAAACTGTATGTGGCACGCCGGCGCCCGCAACTGCTGCACTGTGTGTAGCACGCCAGCGCCAGCAACTGCTGAAACTGTATGTGGCACGCCAGCGCCTGCAACTGATGAAACTGTATGTGGCACGCCAGCGCCCGCAACTGCTGAAACTGTATGTGGCACGCCAGCGCCCGCAACTGCTGAAACTGTATGTGGCACGCCAGCGCCCGCATTTGCTGAAACTGTATGTGGCACGCCGGCGCCCGCAACTGCTGAAACTGTGTGTAGCACGCCAGCGCCAGCAACTGCTGAAACCGTATGTGGCACGCCAGCGCCCGCAACTGCTGAAACTGTATGTGGCACGCCAGCGCCCGCAACTGCTGAAACTGTATGTGGCACGCCAGCGCCCGCAACTGCTGAAACTGTATGTGGCACGCCGGCGCCCGCAACTGCTGCACTGTGTGTAGCACGCCAGCGCCCGCAACTGCTGAAACTGTATGTGGCACGCCAGCGCCCGCATTTGCTGAAACTGTATGTAGCACGCCAGCGCCAGCAACTGCTGAAACTGTATGTGGCACGCCAGCGCCCGCAACTGCTGAAACTGTATGTGGCACGCCAGCGCCCGCAACTGCTGAAACTGTATGTGGCACGCCAGCGCCCGCAACTGCTGAAACTGTATGTGGCACGCCGGCGCCCGCAACTGCTGAAACTGTATGAAGCTCGCCGGCGCCCGCAACTGCTGCACTGTGTGTAGCACGCCAGCGCCAGCAACTGCTGAACTGTATGTAGCACGCCAGCGCCAGCAGCAGCTGCACTGTATGTAGCACGCAAGCGCCAGCAACTGCTGCACTGTATGTAGCACGCCTGCACCAGCAACTGCTGAACTGTAAGTAGCACTCCAGCGCCAGCAACTGCTGCACTGTATGTAGCACGCCAGCGCCAGCAGCAGCTGCACTGTATGTAGCACGCAAGTGCCAGCAACTGCTGCACTGTGTGTAGCACGCCAGCGCCAGCAACTGCTGCACTGTATGTAGCACTCCAGCGCCAGCAACTGCTGCACTGTAAGTAGCACGCCAGCGCCAGCAACTGCTGCACTGTAAGTAGCACGCCAGCGCCAGCAACTGCTGCACTGTATGTAGCACGCCAGCGCCAGCAGCAGCTGCACTGTATGTAGCACGCAAGTGCCAGCAACTGCTGCACTGTGTGTAGCACGCCAGCGCCAGCAACTGCTGCACTGTATGTAGCACGCCAGCGCCAGCAACTGCTGCACTGTGTGTAGCACGCAAGCGCTAGCAACTGCTGCACTGTGTGTAGCACGCCAGCGCCAGCAACTGCTGCACTGTATGTGGCACGCCAGCGCCCGCAACTGCTGCACTGTATGTAGCACGCCAGCGCCCGCAACTGCTGAAATTTTATGTGGCACGCCAGCGCCCGCAACTGCTGAAACTGTAAAGTCGGTGACAAAAGTAACCGCAAAAGTGTTTTTTCCGCCACGAGCTCAGCATAGCTCAAATGAACTCGGTGTCACATATCAGTACTACACATCATCAGCCAACCTCTGCTAGCTGTCCCAATGGTACAGTGGTAGCGTGCTGGCGTGTGATCCCAGCGGTCGCACGTTCAATTCCTGCTGCTTTCATACAGTAAATATCACGCGCGCGCCTTAGCCTTAGCCTTTCTTAGCGCCAGCAACTGCTGAAACTGTATGTAGCACGCCAGCGCCCGCAACTGCTGAAACTGTATGTGGCACGCCAGCGCCCGCAACTGCTGAAACTGTATGTGGCACGCCAGCGCCCGCAACTGCTGAAACTGTATGTGGCACGCCGGCGCCCGCAACTGCTGAAACTGTATGAAGCTCGCCGGCGCCCCGCAACTGCTGCACTGTGTGTAGCACGCCAGCGCCAGCAACTGCTGAACTGTATGTAGCACGCCAGCGCCAGCAGCAGCTGCACTGTATGTAGCACGCAAGCGCCAGCAACTGCTGCACTGTATGTAGCACGCCTGCACCAGCAACTGCTGAACTGTAAGTAGCACTCCAGCGCCAGCAACTGCTGCACTGTATGTAGCACGCCAGCGCCAGCAGCAGCTGCACTGTATGTAGCACGCAAGTGCCAGCAACTGCTGCACTGTGTGTAGCACGCCAGCGCCAGCAACTGCTGCACTGTATGTAGCACTCCAGCGCCAGCAACTGCTGCACTGTAAGTAGCACGCCAGCGCCAGCAACTGCTGCACTGTAAGTAGCACGCCAGCGCCAGCAACTGCTGCACTGTATGTAGCACGCCAGCGCCAGCAGCAGCTGCACTGTATGTAGCACGCAAGTGCCAGCAACTGCTGCACTGTGTGTAGCACGCCAGCGCCAGCAACTGCTGCACTGTATGTAGCACGCCAGCGCCAGCAACTGCTGCACTGTGTGTAGCACGCAAGCGCTAGCAACTGCTGCACTGTGTGTAGCACGCCAGCGCCAGCAACTGCTGCACTGTATGTGGCACGCCAGCGCCCGCAACTGCTGCACTGTATGTAGCACGCCAGCGCCCGCAACTGCTGAAATTTTATGTGGCACGCCAGCGCCCGCAACTGCTGAAACTGTAAAGTCGGTGACAAAAGTAACCGCAAAAGTGTTTTTTCCGCCACGAGCTCAGCATAGCTCAAATGAACTCGGTGTCACATATCAGTACTACACATCATCAGCCAACCTCTGCTAGCTGTCCCAATGGTACAGTGGTAGCGTGCTGGCGTGTGATCCCAGCGGTCGCACGTTCAATTCCTGCTGCTTTCATACAGTAAATATCACGCGCGCGCCTTAGCCTTAGCCTTTCTTAGCGCCAGCAACTGCTGAAACTGTATGTAGCACGCCAGCGCCCGCAACTGCTGAAACTGTATGTGGCACGCCGGCGCCCGCAACTGCTGAAACTGTATTTAGCACGCCAGCGCCCGCAACTGCTGAAACTGTATGTAGCACGCCAGCGCCCGCAACTGCTGAAACTGTATGTGGCACGCCGGCGCCTGCAGCTGCTGCACTGTGTGTAGCACGCCAGCGCCAGCAACTGCTGAAACTGTATGTGGCACGCCAGCGCCCGCAACTGCTGCACTGTATGTAGCACGCCAGCGCCCGCAACTGCTGAAACTGTATGTGGCACGCCAGCGCCCGCAACTGCTGAAACTGTAAAGTCGGTGACAAAAGTAACCGCAAAAGTGTTTTTTCCGCCACGAGCTCAGCATAGCTCAAATGAACTCGG